GTTTTGCTGATATAGGCTTAGTTTGTCGGGGGACATCTTACTTCTTCCTTCTCTCTGTCTATACCTTTGTACTCTCATGTTCCGATTAACCCAGCTTCCCCAAATTTCTTTCTTTTTGGTGTCTATATACGCCGGGATCCGGAGTCATGGATGATCCTGCGGTCCTGTGTCATGGATCGCGAGTCCTGGATCTTGAGTCGTGGCTGTGGTCCTGGATCACAAGTCCTGGATGGATATCCTCGTGGATTCATCTTCCTATTATACACACATGCATTTCCAAACATTTGGACTACCTATGTTGCAAATGTATTATCTTTTCAATTTACACACGGCATCTATTGCACGTCTGTCCGTCCTGGGAGAAGGATCCCTCCTCTGTTGCTCTCCCTGAGGTTTCTCCCATTTTTCCCTTTAAACTGTGGGTTTTCTCCGGAAGTTTTTCCTTGTACGATCTGAGGGTCTAAGGACAGAGGGTGTTGTGTTGTCATACTGATATTCTGTACAAACTGTGAAGTCCACTGAGACAAATGTAACATTTGTGATATTGGGCTATATAAATAAACATTGATTGATTGATTGAAATATGCGTATACTGCTTAGAAAACCAAGGTGGTGCAGAGCACGTGAAATGTCTTGTAATGCACGAGTCAACACGTTCCATGCTCTTTTGAGAAATCTGATGTACAAATTCATCTGTCGATTGAATGTTACTCATAACTCTGTCATTATGCTGCTTTCAAATCCGTGTCTCAGTGCTGTACGATACCAGTCACCTCTGTGGAAACATTGGTATAACTGCCTTTTTAAATTTATATTTGAGTGATGTTTGTCTTGTAATAATGGACCAAGAGTCTCTTTAAATAAAGATGATGATGATGAACATAAAATTGTGATCACACACTTTGTGTGGGTCACGCTAACACACTAACCTGACAGGTCATGATGGGGGATAAGTTCTCCTGTTCGTCCACCAGCACGAGGTTCTTGAGGGGGCGGGGCTGGAAGAAAAAGGTGTCTCCCTCCTCCAGGGGCATTGCAGAGGAGAACTCGGGCTCCTCGTCATCGTCACCCAAGTGAGCAATCTGGTAAAGGTAACTAAAGGGGAAAAAAGTTGCACATTATGAGAAAAATTCTGAATGGTTGTAAGTTATAGTCTTAGAAAAGTAACAGACATTATCATAAAAAAAGTTAAGACGGACTTAATTCTGACAATTTACTTACTGGTTGCCAAATTCTGAAGACACAAACAAGAAGCCAGTCTTCAGGACACACATGGCTGTTGCCACGGGGATTGTGTCAAAGTATTTCAGCCGGATTTCTGTGACCTGAGAAATAACACAAAGCCCTTATAAACATACAGATTTAAGGTAAAACAATAAAAAAGTATTCACTAAATTAATCCAGAGGTTTTAATTTATTTTGTGAAGATATGTGTGGTATTACAATTATGCTTCATCGGGTGAAAATGCATTGTACTACAGGGTTTGTCTCACTCTAAAATTGACCAAAGAATTAGTCACATAAAGAAGTGGGTATGCATCCAATCTTTATCTTTCCTCACCATTTCCTCATCTGTTTCCAGCGTAACCTTGAAGATGTCTCCCTGCTCAGTTTGGGCCAGGAAGAAGAACATGGACTTGGTCTTGTGAGTTGCTGAGCAGACAAAAATCATGCCGCGCTCCGGGTCATCCAGGTCGTTCTGCAGGATGGAAGAGATTAGGAAAAGGAGAAGAGTCAAATAAATGTGCATGCAGACAAAAAAAGAAAGAAGACCAAACACAGCTTCCAAAAAAAGAGTAAAAAAGGAAATGATAGGGCTGTATTATTAGTAAATCACTACTTAAATGATATCCTGAATTAGAAAAGAGAAGAGACCAAGAGAAGTTTCACATCTTGTTGCCATGCTGTAGGAAGTTGTAGTGAAATAGACTCAACAAAACCAGCAATGGATAGTTTATTGTGTAACATGTATAGAGTTCTTTTGTTTCTATTGTTAAGACTCACCCTGCGTCGCGGGATGGGACAGCGGATGTCAGGCTGGTCTCCAAAGTTCTTGTAGGTGATGTAGTTTTCGGAACAAATCAGAACTCCACTGGGACCATCCGAACCACCAGGAACTAAAGAGAGGAGTGTTTAGTGACCTAGGCTATTTTTTTAAATCATGAGGACTGCAGTGAAAACAGCTGGAATCCTTAAGCAGTATGTGCTCCGTGTTCAAATCCAAGGTGTCCTATTCCTACTTTAACTTGCCCCTGAATGTGGGGGTGCTGAGATCAGAGGTGTTTAATCTTTCTCCATTGCAAGTCAGAGAAGAGACATGACAAACTCATCATATCAACAACAGTTTTATATGGGTTTAAATGATGGTTTATCCAACAGGCCAGCCAGAACTCTAAATAGATTCTTCTAGAAACAGACGTTGCATTTTCTAAATAGACCAATTTTATCCCTAGAGTGCAAACCACATGGTCCAAAATGCTCACCAGTGATGAGAAAGTTTCCATGCTCTTCCAAAGCCTCACTGTACTTTCGCACCACGTGATTCAACCCGAGGTCCAGCTCGTAAAAGGTGAGCGTCTGTTGCGTGTTGGCGGCAGCTTCTCCTGTCGGGTCACTGTCAGCCTCCTGGAAAAAAGAAAATAACACGCGGGATGAGGAGGAGTTCGGAAAAAAGTTTAAAAATTAGGCCATTGTTACGCTCAGTATACAAACTATGCGAGTGGTAGTTGATTTTAATCAAACAAGGTAAAAAGAAAATCTTACAGCATCAGTTTAGTCAGCAATATTTGTTAAAAGTAGGCATTGAACTTGTGTACTGAGATCAGAGAGGTTCAATCTTTCTCCAGAGATAGTCAGAGAAGAGACATGAGAATCTCATCATGTCTGCAACACAGGCCACTGGGCGTTATCTTATAAAGGCTTAACCTTGACTTTTCACGACCTTACCTCATAGTCCATCTCCAGGCAGGCAAACATGGGGTTTTCAAAGCCGACGTCGACTCCCACTACGTGGTACACCAGTGTGTTGGCTTTGTGGGCTTCAAGTGGAGAGGAAATGGTGAGCCTCGCAGCTGCATCTCTGTTCAGAATATAAACCAGCTTCTGTTTCTCTGTCGCTCCTAAACAGGGGAGAGAAATATTGCATGGTGAAGTCTTATTCTACTTAGATCAAGGTTCAGGGATGCAAAGTCATCAGGTATTAAAAAGGTGACAATGATCTAGCTGCACCTTTACCTGCTTTGATAACACATTAATACATCAATAATCATGTATTTTTGGTACTTTATGTAGATTTTGACACTAATACTTTGGTACATTTACATGGGTAACTTTTTGATTTCAGGACTTTTACTTGTAACATTTTTCCTACACTCTGGTACTTCCACACGATCTGAATACTTCTCCCAACTCTCATTATAGCAGGGGTGGAGAACCTGCGGCCCCTGGGCCGTATACGGCCCGCGAGACAATATGGTACGGCCCTCGAGGTAATTTATAAACACAAGCAAAAAATTAAAAAATTAAAGAAATCTAGAATGCAAAAAAACAAGCGAGTGCCTGTTTTTCCTGGCCAAGGTCAGGGTCCTTGAACACAACAGAAGCCTAACGTGTCATCACGTGGTATATGTCTCTTCTGATAGGGGTGCAGTTCTAACGGAGAGCACCAGAACGCGGCTCCGGCACTTTCAAAAATTGCAGTACCCATAAGGAGCCGTACACATGCCGCAGTTTTTGCGTGGCTGTGTTTTTAGTTGTGAGCCCAGTGGCGATCTGTTCATCTGTCATTCTGATCATACAGTCAATAACTTTGTTGTTATTAGCATCTGGTTAGCTAGCTATGCTAACAAATATAAGAATCTTTTTCTCCAACCAGTGAGGTAAAGGCACATATGTACATGATCATTATAGTTACAAAAAAATAAGAGAATAAAGTTAACTGGTATTAAATACTATATGACGGTAAAAAAAAAGTTGTTATTAATAAACAACAATACAGTTTGAAAGGGTGATTTGTAAAATATCCATAAAGAAAAATAAATCTGCTTACAGTTCCGTTTCATATGGGTGTTGAGAGATGTATCCATGATCTCTTAATGTTGCTCTCAAAGTGCACCAGATTCACTTCAACATTTAAAAAAAAATCTTCCCGGGGGAGCATGACCCCGGACCCCCCTAGAGGAGGTGAGGTCCCCCCCCACTTAAATGATAAATCATGTTCAAATGGATAGGAAACTAAATACATTTGCACACATCTTGTGTCCATATCTTTCTGTTTTGGCTGTCATGTCACAACCGTGCACGTGCATGGATACGTGAGTCATGGTACGATATCTGGATTAAGAGGTTGCTTTTTCTTTGCACAGCATGAAAGAAAGGCAAAATTAATGGGCTGTGATTTTATTATTTTTAAGCTGAGGTCAATAATTTGTACGGCCCTCAGAGGATGTTGGAAAAATTGAAATGGCCCTTGAGAGGAAAAAGGTTCCCTACCCCTGATTTATACCCTTAACATAGAATTTAAACATATCAATATTGACATGTGATGGCACGTAACATTATGCCAATGAAAAAATCAATTACAAAACTAAGGCTAAAGCTAACGTTAGAAGCCAATGACAATGTATGCTAGATAGCTAAACGATTTATTAAATAATATTGCGAAAGAGTCACTTTGAAACATTCACTGCACATCACGCTTTGCAGCTCCGAGAGCGAGTATCCGAGCGACCTGTTCTAACAGTTTCAACTTTATCCCTTATCCGGCTCGGGACGCCCTGAACGCGAGCCGAGGGCGTCCAAAAATATGAATAATTCGAGAGAAGATAGATAGCTTTTATCGCTTGAAATAACGAAAAGGAAAAAGGTAAGTGTTCTGAATTTGAACATTCACATTTTTTTTACATTTTTATTTCAAATAGGTAAATTCGGAGCAAAACAATTCAGATACATGATTTTCAAAGTAATTATTTTCAATGCTATAACTTTGGTGTCTGATCAAATTTAAATACTTCTGT